CTATCCTGTGAACCTTCCCTCTTTTCCCTTCCATCATGTGAACCTTCCTTCTTCCCCTTCCATCACATGAACCTTCCATCCTCTCCTTTCCATCCTGTGAACCTTCCCTCTTTTTCTGGGGTCCCCTGCTCCTAGCTCACCCTGTATCTCTCCTCTCTTTCTTTCCACAGACAGCAAGGCCATTGTGGACGGCAACCTGAAGCTGATCCTCGGCTTGATATGGACCCTGATCCTCCACTACTCCATCTCCATGCCCATGTGGGAAGATGAGGACGAAGAGGATGCCAAGAAGCAGACGCCCAAGCAGCGCCTCCTGGGCTGGATCCAGAACAAGGTCCCCCAGCTGCCCATCACCAACTTCAACCGCGACTGGCAAGATGGCAAAGCCTTGGGGGCTCTGGTGGATAACTGTGCTCCAGGTGAGGCCATGTGGATTTATTTTTTAAAAAAAGAACAACTACAAATGTCCGATCAATTTCTTTCAGAGGTATCCCATGAGCAACTGTTAGGAGTTAGAGGGCCACATTGGGCCCTTGGGGATCTTAAAGGGCTACAACTGCTGCCACTTTCTTCTGAATATTATAGTTTTTTTGGCCTGTTTCCCCTCAGCACTCTCATTATGCCAAATTTTGACTCTCTCAGAGCCATTTTAGACCCAGGAGAGACCTTTCTATCCAACAAGAGGTGACTTGGGGGTAGGGTTGTGAGTTCAGGATCATCCCAGGCCCTGAGGTTTCCAGGAGAAAACCTAAGACCTAGGAGTGTCCTCTGGTGCTGTGGTCCAGTTTTATGCAATTAGCACCAACACAGAGGAAAGATATTTTTTCTTGTTTGGAAAACAAGATGGTAATCTCAACTAAAAGGGCTGTTCCCAGATCAGGGTAAAACGAAGGGATTATTTCTCCTCATTTATTTAGGGATGAGGAATGTTTAATCTAGCCTACTTGTTTCTAGGCAGAGGGAAGTGCGGAGCAATGTAGAGGGTGAGTCCTGGCACCTCTGTGACAAAAGATGGAAGGAGGAGGCTAGCTAAGTAAATGCATAGACCTCCTCTGAAGATCTTTGCAAGTTGCAGCAACAAATCAAAGCAGTTTTGTGCTCATCTCCAGCTCAGATGATAAAGCAATGGCTTGCTACAATTTTCAAGGCATCTTTGATTTATTTGTTGCAACATGCAAAGACTTTCCAAGTGGTTTATGTACGGTGGGTCCTTGGTATCCCTTGGAGTGCAGTTCCAGGACCCCTCATAGATACCAAAATCCATGAATGTTCAAATCCCTTTAGATACAGTGGCATGGTAAATGGGTGTCCCTTATGTAAAATGGCAAGATCAAAGTTTGCCTTTTGGAATTTATATCTTTTTAAAAAATATTTTCAAGCCACAGATGGTTGAATTTGTGGATACAGGAATCCATGGATACGGAGGGCTGACTGTATTTGGTCAGCTCCCTCTTTCTCTCCCAATTGTTGTGGCGCCAGGACTCACCCTCCACTCTGCTCTGCATCCACATTCTGTCTGGAAGCAAATTGGCTAGATTTAATCTTTCTCAGTAAGCGAGAAGGAATGACTCCCTCATTTCATTCTGATCTGGGAGTGGCCCCTTTAGCTAAGAATTCCTTCTTAATTTCCAAATAGGAAAATGTGTGTGTGTGCACATGTGTATGTGTGTGTTTTAATTTAACATTTCTATATTTTTCTGTGCATCTGAGGATGCGGACCAAGTCGACAAAAGCTTATGCTACAACTTCTTTCTCTCAGTTAGTCTCAAAGGTGCTACAAGATCTCTTTGCATTATATCGATATTCCACACAGACGTCCCTGAATTCTCTCTGTATGTGTTTTGTTGTTCTGTGTGTCTGTCTGAATGACAAGTGGTTGGTACTTAATGCAGAATTCTTAATAGTATAATCACTGGCCATTGCAGGATTTCAGGGTTTTTTACCCGAAGTCTGGGGTGATCCTATAGCTGGCAACCCTATCATGGGGTGGAGGGAAATGTCGCGGAAGTCATTCTTTCAATATATCTGAAGCTCAGTCCTGGAAACGTATTCCCAGTCGGGGACCAGGACTTGCAAAATCTCCCTCGGCCTCTTTCTTCTCCTCTCCTGAAATTTATGCCGAACTGGCTCCGGGGGTGGTCTGTTCCCAGCCTCTGCAACCTAAACACTTCTCTCTCCGATTTATAGCGGTGGAGACTCTGCCCTTGGCACTGGGCGATCGAGCCAAATTTGGGCAAACCCCGAGGTCTGGAAGGATGAGCTTGGTCACGGCAGACGCTGGGGTTCGCCGGCGGGCTGTCCATCTTCTTTTGCTACGGTGCCTGTTGACCGTGCTCTCCCAAATGTTTCGAGTCTTAGATTTTTCCTTTCTTTCATTGTCCTTGGCTTGAGCTC